AGCCATGATTTATTGTAGTTCCCCCTTACATCCAGTCTTTAGGGTGAGCACAAACTGTTATGTCTGCCAGAAAATTAAGTTCTTTGTCATCATTTTCCCTTGCTTCATCCTTGACATCAGTGATTCCCAAACTTTGGTCCTCTGGATGTTTTGGACTTTTAACTCCCAGAAGCCCCAACCGGTTTGCCCAACAATTAGGAATTCTGGGAGCTGAAGTCCAAAACATGTGGAGAACCAAAGTTTGGGAATCACTGCTTTACACCCTTTGTTATGTGCTTCTAAATTTTATCTTTGGCTTAACCATGGGTCACATCATGAGAAGACATGACTTAGAAAAGACATGGCTTGGGAAGGTGGAGGACAGTAGGAAAAGAAGGTGATCACATTCCAGATGGATAGACTCAATCAAGGAACCTATGGCCCTGAGTCTGCAAGACCTGAGCAAGGCTGTTGAGGGTAGGGTAACTTAAAGGGTTCTCAGTCATGGGGTTGCCATAAGTCAAAGTCAACTTGAAGGCAACTAACCAACACCAGCATATGAAAATCCATAATTTTGCCACAAAACATGCCCTTGATTTATACATGAGTTTGACTTATACACAAGTATATATGTTATTTAAGACTGAAAATCAGTAATATTCATTATATTAGTAAAATGCTCTATTTTATTTTTGTTCTTCATATTTTCTAGATACACTGTATATCACTCTTTACATATGAATTGAGTTAATGGAGTTGCTTAGTTTTTGTTCCATGCCTCCAAGACATTTCCAACTTATGACGGTCCTAAGGCAGTTTTCTTGGCAAGATTTGTTCAGAAGAGGTTTGCCATTGCCTTCTCCTGAGGCTGAGAGCATGTGATTTACCCAAGGTCTCCCAGTGGGTTGCATGACCGAGCAAGGAATCGAACCCTGGTCTTCAGAGTCATAGTCCAACACTGAAACCACCAAGCCAGTTTGTTTCTATTTTATAGGTATTTAAAAATGGGGTTGTCCTTCCTTATTTTCCCTTTGCATTACATGTTTGTCTTAGTATAAAGGAAATAACCATTCTTTGTTTTTAAAGGGATGTTTTAGTATTGAATAAACCATACATTCAGAAAGACATGAGCTATGATGTACCTATGAATGACATGGATATGTGATTGGTACCATAGAAGATGGATTTGAAATTTATACTGAGTTGTGGCTCTTGGTCATTTGCTTGGTAAAGCAGCAAAATAGTGTCAATGAGCAAAAATTATTTTAGATTTAAACATAATAAATATATTGGGTTGGGATGTCTCTAGTGCCACACTAATTTACATTCTGAGTATGAAGTTAATCCTAAATGGGGTTATTTATTCCTTCCCTAAGGGCAGCGAGAAGCTTTTCCTCCATTTTTTCTTAACCATGTTAATCTTAATTACAGCTAATGGAAATGAACCAACTTCACGTCATAGTTTATATGTCACTAACTGTAGTTAAAATTAACCACAGTTTGGGGTTTGGTGAAAATGATAAACTATAGTTAATCTGAAATAGAAGCTTTTGGTTTCTTACCTTCTGTAAAGGAAACGGGAGAATGTGCATAACTGGAGAGGAGCTAGATTTGCTAACATTAAACCATAGTATAATGTTGCATCCAAATACATCCATTAAGAAAGAAAATTAGTTTTGGGCTCACCAGTGCCACCCTCTCTCAGAGAGGAATCCACTTTATTCTCTTCAGTAGAGAGCTCCAGAGTCTGGAAACAGCTGATGAGAAAGCCCTCAGTTTGTTGGACTATATCTCAGTCATCTCCAGCCAACATGGCTAGCACTTCTGAAGGACACCAGATGGGGGAAGGATGCTTTGGCATACAAACTCTGGCAGCCTATCAAGACTTTGAAAAGAGCTTGAATACATAAAAGATCTTTAGATTTGAGATTCTTTTTCTCTTGATGTTCTGTTCCACTAAGTTGGAAACAGCACTTCTGTAAGTAGAAGAGGCTTTCTGCAAGCAGAAGGACATCTTTGGATCTTTTCCTGTGTCGTGTAGTATTTAAAGGCTTACTGGTTTCTTAAGGCATGAGTAGAAGAGGCTTTCTGCAAGCAGAAGGACATCTTTGGATCTTTTCCTGTGTCGTGTGGTATTTAAAGGCTTACTGGTTTCTTAAGGCATGCACTTTATTAAGCAAGAGTTGTCATCATCAGATACATGGAGTACACACCCCATGTGGGTTGAGGTACATGAAGGAAAACCATATTTCCAGTCCACTTCTTGCCTTGAATGAAGAAGGCTGTTGTCTATGGAAGTTCATACCACAATAAACACTAGTCTTCAAGGTGCATCTGGATCTAGTTAGCTAAGCTGCATAAAGTGAGACTTAAACAGAGTGGAGGAAATGGATCCAAAACTGTAGTGCACAAGTAATGTTAAATTTCCATCACTTCTATCACTGCCCCCATGCTATTCCTAGAATTCACAGTGAGTCTGTCTCTACTTTTCCTCTCCTGGACAAGTGCAGACACACAGCCCCACAATTTGCTAAACTGATTGGTCTCACAAGAGTTGTAAAACCAAACCAGAATAGCTGACAGCTACTCAGAGATCTGCTTATCCTTTTAAAATTTGAAACTGTGGCAAATTTGAATACCGTACAACATCTGAATTGAACTTTTGTTTTAGTTAAGGCTACATGTATTTAATGTGAGTCAAGAGAAAATTGCAGGGATAGCAAAGTCCAAATTGTGGTGATACCTTTGCTAGATACAAAATTGTGTCTTTTGTTGCCCTAATAAAGATATTGCCACAATGTGGACTTTGTACTATAAGATAAGCAGAGCTATCATTCTAAAAAAAAGCATTCCCACTGTTTTGTAACTTAATAGTAAGAAACGTGCCAAAGCCCACCAACACTTGAAGCATTAACAGAAGATAACTGGATTTTGCACTCCTTTCAAAGACATGCTCATCCACTTTGGAGAGTGAAATTTATGATGTAGCTTAGAAAAACAGAAATTGAATTAGTTGCAGATGATGAATACTTGGCCCACCAACAGCTAATAATGTGGAATTGAAGACTGCTTTGTGTAATACCTAATATTTCGTTCTCTACCACCACTAGAATGACAGTACTAAAAATATTGGAAACTGTCTTATAGGAGGTGTGCAGAATGCTTGCATGTGCTTGCACATACAAATACACCCTTTGAATTCCCTGAAGGCCATTATTTCACTGGTATTGATAGTCCTTCCATTAGTGCACATGGCAACTATTTCACACTGTCCCTGTGTACACAGTTTCTGTGGCCAGTTTTTCAGCCGTTGACCAACTTTCTGCTGAAGACTTTTTCTGTACTTAGACTGCTCTTTGGACTGCAGGTAAGCAGCCTTCCATCAGGAGTGTAATACTGTAGTCCAGGTATACATGAACATAGCAGAAATGTAGGGGGGTTGCAGACTGCCAGAAATAGTGCAAATTGAGTCCACTTTTAGGGTTAGGGTTAGTGCTAGGGAATCATGGGAATTGTACTTTTTTTTTTCTGAGACATTGAGCCTTCTCTGTCAGAGAGCTCTGGTGCCACAATAAAATACAGTTCCCATGATTCCCTAATCCTAACCCTAAAAGTGGACTCAATTTCTGGCAGTCTGCAACCCCCCCGTAGTTGCTTCAGTGTGGAATTGTGAAGAATTTTTATACAGGGTTCTGCAGGCTCGGCTGTGGCCTCTTTAACCATTTGATATGCTACCTTCCTCTCCTTCTACTGCCCTCCCTCTTTCCTATAATTATTATCTTTTCTAGTGAGTTATACTTCTCATGATGTGGCTGAAATACAACAGCCTTCATGTAGTCATCTTGGCTTCCAGGGAGAGCATAGGCATGATGCATTGTATAACCCATTTGTTTGTCTTTTTGGCCGCACCACACCTTGAATGACTTGATTTTTCCTTCTATTAGCTTTCTTTACTGTCTTGCTCTTGCTGCTGTACATGGTGATGGGAAATACTATGGCTTGGATGATCCTGACTTTAGTGTTCAGTTTTATATCTTTGCACAGGATCTTGTCTAGTTTTTCTATAGCTGCCCTTCCCATTCCTAGTCGTCTTCTGATTTATTGACTAGAATTTCCATTCTGATTAATTATTGGTCCAAAGCATAGGAAGTCTTTTACTACTACAATTTCTTTGTCACCTAGATTGAATTAATCTTCAGTGGTCATTATTTTTGTTTTCTTACATTTCTTATGTTCTGATTATTTTATTCTGTGTTGGGGAGTCTCTGGTCTCTTGGCTGGATGCAACTCATGGGATAGGGTGTCCTTTTCTGGTCCACAAACTACTTATGTAACCTGGTTGATAACTGTGTGTAAGAGATAGTAGAACCTACTGAATAAATTTGGGTTTATAGTCCTTCATATCCTATCCCTCTCAAACTGGTCCTTCAGTTTAAAAATGTTTCTCCCTTCCCCCAATTTTAGAAATCTTTTCAATGGCTCACTGTAGCATTTAATCATCGCTCCCTCTGGAAAAGAAGTAGGCATTCAATGTCAGGTGGGAAGGCAACCATGTGACTAATGGGGATACAACTTAGAGAGGTACAATACATGCCCTCCTGGCTCCTGTCTCTCAGTTTAATTGTCCTTCCTGTTAATTCTCATAGCTTTATGTTTTGGGTGCAATTTTCTTTCATATAGTTGGCCTTGACCATGTAGTTTCTAAATCAAAATGCGTACCTGAATGGTATGAGATTTTGCCAACTGTGAATGTTTGTATCTCGGGTACAAACTCTTTAAACCAGGGATGGCAATGGAGAGCTTCCAGATGTTGTTAGACTTCAGTTCCCATGATTCCTTGCCATTCACTGTGTTGACTAATACTGGCAGGAGCTACAACCCAGGGACATTTAGAGGGCCAATCTATACCCTATCTATACATGTACACTGGCTGCCAAGTAGTCAAGTTGGAAGGAGAAAAGCTAGGGAATTCCCCCGTCTACTTTCTACCCTCAGGCTGAGAAATTGCTCTGCCAGTGATTCATGGGGGCAGTGAGAATGTGGTAGGAGAGTTTCTCTTCTCTCCCATCTGTCAATGAGGCCAGTTTCAGTGGCAAAGCAAACCTGGCCTGTGTTTCCAACCTGGGCTCTGACTTTCTTTCTTTCTTTCTTTCTTTCTTTCTTTCTTGTGATTATATTCCATTTTTCTCCCAATTGGGATTCATGGTGCCATGATACTTTAAGAAGTCTCCCATGCTCCTTCCAAATTAAAAGTTGTGTTCATTATATAAGTTGAGCAGTGGGGCACTATATCTTTCTTCACCCCTTTTGGGAATTGGGTTTTCGAGTGTGTGGAAGTGAAAAATACATCCCTCCTGCCTCCGTCTGTGTGCTGCCAAGGAAGAAGGGCATGGTGAATAGAATTCACTTATTATTGCCCATGGCATCTCTGTTGAAAAGTGAGTGAATGTTGAAAAATAGCTTTATATGAATAAATTAAGGGCAGGAATTGGCCAGACCTCCAGATATTGTTTGATTGCAACTTTCAGTGCAGCCAGTGCTGAAAAATGCTATGAGGTGCAGTTCAACATCATCTGAGTTGCTTGAATCCCATCCCTGGTATAAATGAACACAAATTCTATATGTGTACAAATGTATGGAATAAAGGGCCTCCAGATATGCATGGATGAGTGTATGTGGTTAACATTTGCAGTTCCTTTGTTATAGCTGTCCAATATGTGCATACTTATTAATACTAGGTACATATATTACCTATTAAAATTACACTTACGTAGCACTAATTCTTCCTCATTTACTTGTGTACACACCTCTCTATCTTCTTCTCATCCTAGTTTCTTGCATTTCCAGTTCCTTTTCACTGAGGTGAATTGGGAGCAAGTTATGCAAGAGGTCTTCTAGAATAACTGTTTCAGGACAAGATGTGTTGGTTTTTATTTCCTTAGTAGAAGCAGTCATTCTAAGGCAGGAAAGGGCCGAGGGACT